ACTTTAGAAGATGATGTTGGAGGCCAGAGAACTGGAATTTCTGCTGGTTGTGAGCTTCCAAATGGGTGCTGGAAACCAAACCTGGGTCCTCTGAAAGAGCAGCAAGTTCTCTCGACCACCAAGCCGACCGCTAAGCAATCTCATTAGCTCCTATGGTCAGTGTTTCACATGTGAGCCTTCTCGAGTGCATGCGGTAGTATATCCTCATTTAAATTTGTATTTCTCCCATGACAAATAAATGTTGAACAACTTTTTGTGTGCTTACAGCCATTTGTAGACTGTCTTTTAGAAGTATCTCCTTACCATGTTGGACCATGTAAAAAAAAATCAAGTTGTTTGACTTCTTCCGTTTGAGAATTCTTTACGTATTAATAGAGTGCTTTAGCAGATACTGTGTATAGCGTTGTATAAATAAGGTTTCCTGAATATTTTCTTCAAAGAGAGAAATAATTTTGAGTTTAGGTGTGACTTAAAAAACCAAGCCTATAAAAATAAATCTAGCTTCCGGCTTTCAAAACTAATAAAATGTCTCCATGTATCAGGAATACATAAAGTATATTTAAGTAGAAGAAGAATGAGCCTTTTGATGTTCCTGTGCCTGTAGTAAATCAAAAATCTTTTTCACAAAATCAGATGGTTTGTTTGCGCCTCCAGCCACAATGGAGGAACACGTGTGGTAGATGAGTATATTGGATAAACAGTGTGCATCCTTCCCTGAATAACCCCATAGAAGAGCTGCCAAAGGGACAGTAGGAATGCCTTTTCATTAACACAGCACTCTTAGGTGGAGCTGTTAACATCCGTGGAGCTGGCCAGGAAGACAATCTGCCAGTTACAGCAGCAAATCCAAGAAAGCCCTAAAGCAGCAGTGGACTCTCTCATCAGCCTCTAATCCAGAACTATTGTCTTGTTTGACACCATTGTGAGTGCACAGTCTGTCTGAAGCATCTCATAGCATCTTAAAGTGCATTCGACTTTGATGACATGAAATTTACCTTCGACCTGTCTGCCCTATCAGTGACTGAAGTGAGAACCATCATATATCTATAAACAGGTGGTGGGATCCATCGAGACTAGAAGTCATTCCGGCGCTCGCATTGGAACTAGAGGCCGATACTGCTTGGTTCTCTGTGGATGGTGAGAAGAGCGTTAGGACCAAAGAGGCAAGACTTTAGGAGTATCACAGAAACATTTACCAGATTTTGTGAGCAACCAAGCCTGAGAGTCAGTCTCAGGTTGACCCTTTTCTAGTGTGGATGGCCTGCCTAGTGGTGGTGCTTAGTCAAAACAAAGCAGTTTTGAAGACAGTGCAGAGTATTTAGTATTTGAACCTGGAAAGCCTAAAGGACCCCACACACTGGCATGGGCAGTGTGTGGTCGGCAAAGTAACTCCGGGGCGCAGGGCCGACGGGAGGAAGCGACGTTCACGTCTAATGTACTTTGAGGTGCTGTGAGATGCTTCAGTATGCTCACGAACAGTAAAAACAGGATTCCTCAGGTTTGAATCCTAAATATGCATTTTGATATGTGCTCTATAAAGACAGTACTTACATGTATTAGTATGCAAGGGGTCTGTGCCTCTGTGATAAGAGGGCAGTGAGTGGAGTCATAGTCTAAATGCCAAAGATAATGCCAAGTTGTAATTGTTGCCCACTGCTGGAAATAGGGCTTTGCTTAAAACAAACTACATGATTTGGTAACTAGGGAAGCGTTAATTAAAGAAGAAAGAAAGAACCTGATGGTACATCAGCAAGCTGTATTTTTCACAATATGAAAAACTACTCACCAAGTAATCGTAATAATTAGTTCTTTGCTTACCGACGTAGATCTATCATAAAACAAACAAACATGCACTGAACAGCAACGACAAAACTTCACACATCAAAAAACCACACTGTTATGAAATCTAAATCGTAGCATAATGTGGCAGGAGTAAGGGAGTACCTGGCAGGAGCCTGCCAAGCTGTCCCCTTGAGAAATCACGCCATATGACAGACCTAGTATAAGGAAGATTTATTGTGGGGGAAGGGAACAGGAGTGGGGACCTGGAAAAGGGGGTAGAGGCAGATAAAAGGGGGAGACAGAGAAAGAGAGGCCAGCCGGGAACACTTGGGAATAGAGAAAGAAAAAGGTGGAAGAAGGGGGGTCTTGGGTAGTGAGCCTCTTATACACTGCCTGGTAGCAGCACAGGTAGTAATGGCAGTGGGTGGTGACAAAGCTGTTGGTAGGTGTTGGGTGGAGCCTAGCCGAATTATCTCTAAGCCAACACAGCTGGGGCTGGCAAGTGGCTCGGAAGATTGCACCTTTTGCTCTTGCAGAGGACTCAGTTTGGTTTCTAGCACCCATATGGTAGCTCACAACTGACTCCAGTTCTAGGGGATCCAATGCCCTCTTCTGGCCGCTGCAGGCACTACATGAATGTGTGCACATGCACACTTGTAGACAAATACATATATAAAAATAATTTTAAATGCCTACTACATAATTCCCTTACTAATAACCAAGAATGAGCAAAGCTAACGTACGAATGATGGAAAAGAGAAGACCTCTGAGAGGTGACATGGTAATTGGTAGCTTCATCAAGAGGAAGCCTAGGGCAGAGAAATGTTCTTTACCTCTCTTGAGGCTACTTATAATGGCCAAAACTCAATGAATTAGAAATGCGTGATCTATGCATACAAAGAGTTATTGGTCAGAACTTAGCTTATTAATCACTGACTTCACTTTGCTTCAAAAACACCCCACCAGCTTTCAGGGTCACCTCTTCCTTCACAAAAGCAAATGATACCCAGAGACATTTCCCAAACAGGAGAATAAAGCTGCAGTAGAAGACCTGGTGTGCTCGGGAGACAAAATCTAACTAGTCAGTGGAGAAATTCAAACTAAGACTCAGTCTTCACTACAGAGACTCTAAGATCACCGACAGCCGGTGATGTGGGAGGCCCGAAAGGGGGAGCGTTGCTTGGAATTATGTGGAAAAGTAGGAAGCTACTTTGATCTATATCTCTAGTCTATATCTGAGTAATTTTTGTCCCTCCCACAGGGACAGCTGGATGAGTTACTCTGTCAGAAACAGGGCCACATGCCTGCTATGCTAGGTATCGATATCCCCAGGCCTTTTGTTTCACTCCAGAACAGTAGATTCCTTCAGAGGAGTCTCAAGTGTAAGAAACATGATCAGCTTATGATAAAAAGCAAACCAAGAGCAGTAAATCCAGACTGGACCTGAGAGACATCTGTTGGACAGAACGAAGCTAATAGGCCATCTGATGGGGTTCAGATAACTGGAGATATTTGGTATACACACAAGAACACTAAGTAAAAATCTATATGGGTACTAAATTGAGAATGAAAAAAAAATTACGCAAGTATGATATAGGTGGGACTAGAGTTTTATGGTTGTAATAACCATCAAGTATGGATTTATCAATAGTGTATGATGCTGTAACACACCCACATGTGGATCAGGCAAAGGGAGCGAGTAGGGATGGAGATTGAAAGAAAATGAATCTTCAGCTTTCAAAGAACAAACTCAGTGCGTAATCACACAAACTGGAAGGTCATGAGGTAACAGCTAAAACGCCAAATGAACGCGCTAAAGGAGCTGCTAAGACACTGGCAAGGATAGAAAGCATCATAAGTGTATCTTAACCCACAGCAAACTTAAAAACAAAGTCAACATAAAATAATAAAGCTGTTCGCCAAGAGATCTCATGAGCTAAGATACAGAATAAATGAAGATTGAGGATGTTCTCTGCAGGTTAAGGAAGTAAAAAGAAGGGGAAGATTGGGACGCTGTAAGCAGCAGGGGAGAGGCAGGCTAGGAAGAGGATGGTCACTTGCTTGGTTAGTTACACAGAATGGGCACAGAGAGGAAAGCAGTCGAGAGAATCTGATATATAAATAGCAAAGACTCAGACACCACAGTGGATGTTGTCATCAGAAACAAGAATGAAGAGCTAGTTAGAAAAGCAAAAGGGCCGTCTTTCCCTTGGCAGCAAGCAGAGCAGCGGGTAAACGAGGAGACCAACTTAGGAGGGCGGGAAGAAACATTACAAGAGCGCATGCCTGCTCACTGTCTTGGTTTTCCTTCTCAGTGGCAGCTGGGGCGAAGCCATCAGATGTGGGACTGAATCTCCCTCTGATGGTCTCGGTTCGAGAGCCACATGGGAGGCAGGAATTCTGCTTGAGATTAATTTTGAGAGTCCAGCTGAGGGTGAGAAGCAAATGTATTTACTAGTTAACACATGCTGCCTCTGCAGAATACTATAAACTGGGCAGCTTAACAGTTTGAGAGGCTAGACCCTTCAAGATCAAGGATTTGGTTATTGGTGACCTCCTTCCTGGCAGAGAAAGCCACCATTTCCCCATGTCTTGAAATGGGAGATAGGAGAACAAACCTGCATACCCTGGTATCTCTTCTTACCCGGACTATAATTCCAGAGGATAGAGATTCCTCCCTTGTGACCTCATTTGGCTTTAGTGACATCCTTACTCCAACCTCAGTTGGGGCTGGGGCTCAGTGGGGCTCTGTGGGGCTATGGCTTCAACATACATGTTTGTGAGAAGTGCCAGCATGAGTAATTTATCACTGAAGTATGAATTGTCTTCCCATGTGTACTTACTGCTGCAGAGCAGGAGGGAAACTAAAAAGCAAAACTGTGATTGAGGGGATCCATACCATGATGGTCTGGACAGTAGACAAGGAGTAAGGTGCTGGCGAAAGATAGCTCAAATAACTGCAACTGTTTCTAAGAACAGTAGAATGGGAAGCCAGAAAGGGCCTGGGTTTAGATCAGGAAAAGCGTTGGGGACTAGTAGGCTCTCTGATCAAGAGACTAGCGCACAGAGTAAAGCTATCTTAAATCACTTTCTAGGGATGCAGAGCTGCCTTGCAATAGTGGACTCTTCACTTTCAGATTTGCCAGAAATAAAGAAAGGTTAGCAGACTGGAAGATTTGGGTCCATCAGTAAATCATGGAATTTTCCTTTCTTTTTAGACGACTTAATACGTTGAACAAGTGTGCCTCAATGAGACTTGATGTGAACTTCCAGAGGAAAAAGGTGGGTGCACCTTGTGGAGACCATGACCACACCGACAGATCAACCCATATTCCGAGACTGGAAAAACATGCAGGGCTGGAGAGCTGGCTCTGTGGTTAAGAGCCCTTGCTGTTCTTCCTGAATACAGGAAATTGGTTCCCAGCACAAGTCCAGGGGATCTCATGCTCTCTTCTGACCTTCATGGACACTCACAAACACACTGATACACACATGGGATATACACAGACATATACATTAGATACACACATACACACACTCACACATGGGAGATATACACACACAGGAGATACACACATGAGATGCACACACACATGGCACACACATACATTCAAACACACATGGGAGATACACATCTTTTAAAATAAAGAAGAAGCCTTAAGGCAAGGCAATATTATCACATGCCCACCCCACCATCTTGTTTCCTCTCCAAATACCCCCCATCCTTTCTCCACTGTCACGAATAGGTCTGTTTTAAGACCATACTAGAAGTTGGGTTTTGCAATTTCACTGCTTTGACTTTCATGGCTTGTTGTTGTTTCTATCAGAAGGTTTGGATAAAGAAATAAATAGCTCAGTTCTTTGGCCTCACCTTTCAGAAGTCTGTGCAGCCTTAACTGTCAAACCACTTCTGACTCCAGGGTCTCCACATCTATGAATAGATTAAGAGATTCAGGGAAGGGCTGACCAAACCAAAGGTCCAAACCAAGCATCTTCTGATAGTTCCTGTCACGTCTTTTCTTTCAAGTGCAAGTCAGAGATGCATCCATTCTTGGGCACGTTCATTTGGTGACAGGAGTAAAGGCATCAGGTGACCCCTGTTCTTAGCCACTCTGCCCCAGTCACAAGAAATTGGTTTCTAGGATCCCTGCTTCTCACAGGACATCTTGTGAACAAATTTCCGTTGTGAAATGAAGTGCTAAAGATGAGGATGTAGGTCAGTGATTGACACTTGTGTATAATATCTTGGGACCAAGATTCAGTCTACCATACAGAAAGAGAAAAGGAGGAAAAGATGAAGGAGAGGAACGTGAAGAAAGAACAAAAGATTTAGCATCCATAATATATCTAAAAATCCACGGTAGCCCAAATCTTTTTTGAGTGCTTACTTTTCCTTTTAAGTTTTTAAAGACAGGGTTTCTTGTAACTAGCTGCGGTGAACTTGCTTTGTACTCAAGGCTGGCTTCGAACTCCTGATTCTCCCGCCTCTACTTCCCAAGTGCTGAGATGACAGGTGTGAACCAATACTTGTAAAACCCAAATTGTTTGAGTGCCGTTATGGTAGGCAGAAGTTTTGGATTTCAGATGAGTGTGGATATCATAGTTTCTGATTAATTGATAAAGCCTACGAGCATATTCCAAAATCAGACAACACCCAGCTCTCTAGTGGGCAGCACTCCTGATTTAAGCACTGTGGGTGAAGAAAACCAAAGTTTACTTCCCGTTGATGACTATCATCGAGGATCTGAGCTCGGTGCATTATCTCGCTCTTGTCCAGCTTCTCTGGGTTCTGCGGAAGGAAATTAAACCTGTCATGTGCTCTGAGCTTCTGGGTGAGTCATGCAGAAGGCTTTTGACCTCAGGAGTGTCTTTAGGAGCAGCTGGCTTCAAACCCAAAGCTCCACCTCCCTATGCTCTGCTTCCAGTCTCACTGAATGGGTTCTCTCCAGGACATTCAGAATTAATTCACTAAGGACAATTTTTTAAATGTAGCGTCTCCATCTGTAATTAGCCAAATCTGGGATTATTTTGAAGCCAAATCTGGTGTCCTTTATTCTGGTTTGCACAGAACAATAATTACATCTAATGCATCTTCACTGACCCTGGAGTAACCTAACCTTCAAAACCAATCCTTCCCCACCCCCAGATTTCTACTCTGAAGTAGCACCTCTCAAGGAGTCTAAGTCATTTTGGCTTGGACTTCATCTTAAAAGCAATTTGGAGTTGGAGCTGGGAACCAAGGATTCCAGCTGAGGGGGTAGGAGAATGAAAAACAATATCCAGAGAAATAGTCAAACGTGAGCGAATTATGCAGGCCACAAACAAATTTAAAATGTGGGAACAGACCTCCCAACAGCTGTCTGGCTGAATAGACCCCTTGAGAAGCGCCCTTACTATTTGAAGCATGCAGGTCAGATGTTGTTTTGGTTATAACACATGGTTCTTATTAAACCAAATGCAGCCGTTCCTGGGAGTCTAAGACAAGGTGGCTGCTCTCTGCAGATCTCTCACAAAAGGGAATGTCAAAAACTAATGATACATGATGTTGCCCACAATGTGTGGTGATGGGCTTTTTGCCCTGTCACCTACATGCTTTGCAGAACCCTCAGGCAAGATGTCCATGAACGACGTTCTCAAGGTTCTCTGTGCAACCTACAAATTAATCACCTTGGTATTGTGACCTGCTCGGGGTATTTCTGTATGTCAGCTGCAGTCACACACACTCTCCCTCCCCTCTTAGTGGGGGCTTTGCAAATACATGTATGTGAATAGAATACTGCTTTCCACATTGCAAGTTGAAGACTCACAGACAATTTTCAAATAAAAACATGTGGTGCCCCCTCACTTGTCAGTCTCTGTCCTGGGCAGTGTCTGTGGCTGGTTCCAGGCAGCCACACAGCACACTCCCAGCGTAAGCTCTGAGATCTGGCCCTGACATAGGCTGTAGGTTGGTCCTTTATTTTATTACCAAACAAAAACACGTTTTTGAATAGGGACCAAGTCTAGGCCAAATGATAGGACAGAGAATCAGGGACTTGAGAATCGAGTGTCCCACAAAGCCACAGGTAGCTTTGGATGGAAATAGAAAGTGATCAAGAAAGAGAATTAAGAACAGGACAGCAGTGTGTCCTGTTTACATGTTCTGTGAAACAGAATCTTCATCACCAGTCTGCAAGAATCATAGACTTGACTTTTTCAGTGTGGTCCACACATGCCTTAATCATCCAAGGCTGTAGGACTCCCTGGAAGGCAGCTGGACCTGTGGAATGGCTCTGGGGACTTTCTGGGCAACCTGGGTGATTAATAATTAATAAATGCTGGCATGGACTTTTCTGCCGACCCAACCAACTCTTCGCCTTTCAAAAACTGTTAGAATTGTTCTGGACCCAAATGTTTGTCAGTCCCTTGGTCTAAGCCATACAGACAGTGAACTGTTTTTACATCAGGAATGTGTCTTGCTGTTTGAATACCAAGTTCCACAGTTTATTGTGCCTGTCTTGGGAAATTGTGTTTAATTTTGAAGATTCAATGAGCTGAGTCAAGGAACAAAAAGGAAGTCCTCAGAGATGTGAATGTGGTGCAGCCTGGTCTTGCTTGGCTTGTTGTCTGTTCTACTTACATCCGTGAGGCTTAGCATCTGCCCTCAAGTGGAGGGCTGTCGACCCTCATTATGTACCTCAGCTACAGACTCACCAAAACCCTACCGGGAGGCATTTCTGAAGGCTGGAAGCCAGTATGCCAAGGAGGGCATTCCTGCATCCCAGTAGGCTGCCTCACTGGCCTGGGTAACGTTCATGGATATTATAACTTTAGCTTCTAGATGTCTGCATAATTGTGGATTTGCACCCTGTCACAGCTGCAGACTTGTATGGCTCCCCTAACCTGTTTTGTTGTGTTTTTAAAAGCCCATTCCTCAGTTTCCAGTGGTATTCATCTAGAAGGAATATGTAATTTTAGTAAAGAATGTTCTCATTTAGAAAAAAGCCAACACAGGAGACTCACCCAAACTAAAAACGAGGCAGATCCAAGTTCTTGGACAAATCTTACTACCGACTGATCCACACCAGCATCACGATGACATTGAATGGCCCCTAGCGGCCGGTGTTTAAAAAGATAGCTCTTTAGAAGGCTCCCACTACAGTAAGCATTTTAATAAGACCAATGGTGGAAAGCTACACCGATTCTGTGAGTAAAACCTCAGGGCTAGGACCCTCTCAGCTGGATGCCAAGGGCATTACTGAGTTCCTGAAACTGTGACAAGGGACCCAATTTCCATCCTCACCCCTGGGACATTGACTTCCACGCCCTGCATCTCCTGCCAAACACAGTCCTTCCTGGTAGCTGTAGGCAGCCGAGGCAGTAAGAGGAAATGAATACAATAGCCATCACCTGAGCGGCTGAGGAAATCTTGACAGACATGACTTACAGAGAGCATATGGATATCTCAGAATCCTCTATATTGGGAGGGATCCTACCCAGTCCCCACGATCTCCTTCAGAGAGCAACACACACACACAAAAGTCCTTCAGCAGGATGAACTCATTAAATCAAAAAGTCTTCATGTAAAAAATGGCTGGTAAACCTGACACTTTTCCTTTTCTCTGAAGAAGCACAGAATAATATGGCTTCTTTCTCAGTACAGCAACACCTCTGCTCTGTCCTGGGAAGCTGCTGCTCCAGTTTTTATAAATAAAGTTTTATTAGAACACAGTCACTCCCAGCAGTGTGGAATAGATTCTCCAACAGAAACTATATGGCCTATGAAAACCTAAACTGTGTATAGCTGACCTTTCACAGATAAAAGGTCTAAAACAAAATTTCCCCAAAAGCCTGAATTACCTGTGTGTTTTATTTTCTCTTCCAGTCAACACTGATGTCTTTTTATAAATTTTAACAGAAATGAATTGTCAAATATGAATTTTAAGAAATAAATAGAAAATACAAGAAAAATGTTTTTAGTATTAGATATGATCAGCACAGAACTTCTTTCTAATAAAATAAAAAAATAAGTAGACTGAGTATAGAGAACCCAGACTGGGAAACAGGTAAACATGACAAAATTGTACATGTTTTGCTGAAAGTGTGTACACTAAATATGTACTATTATACCAAAACGTCTTGTTCTTTATATTAACTAAATAGAAAGTGTCTACTGAGTGGCAGGACCCTAGCCTCCATGTTTAACAAATGCCAATGTGCACAGTGCAAACAGTGCTGAGTATCTACAGGGTTTAATGTGACTAAGCTTTGCACGTGTCATCTAATTAGGCTAGCTGGCCATG